GAGCTTAGGGTTACTGGGTAGCCGGTAATCCGAGTCTATGCCCCGGAACTTGACTAAAGGTGACACTTGACGACGCCTGGTGGCTCGGGCAGTAAGGTGTCCTGAGGATCTGGGCCTCTCCGTATCGTGTGAGGAGAGAAATCTTATAGACGGGGTACGGCAAGTTAAGGGTCAAACTCGCTTTGAAACTTCTGTCCTTTGTACAGTGCTTATAGTTTGGACTGTGCCTGTTTTTTTGTAAATCTGATGTCTGTCGATTGCTTTGGTCAACGGGGTTCACATGCTTATTTTCTTTGTGATCAGACCATCGTCTGACTATCATCAACTAAAATTTTAAAGATGAGTATAAAAAAAAAATTGTTTTGATTTTAGTTTAAAATCGATAAAAAGGACCTAGAAGAATGTTGGGTATTTCAACTATTGAGTAAAGCATGAGAGAATTCCAAATTCCAATCAGAATATTAAATTTTTCTTTTTTTTAGTTTTTACTGAGAAATTAATTCTAAAACTGTGATGTTTCATTTACAATTTGAGGGGTAACATTTAACCGAGCTTCCCAAAGATTCTATTGGATGAGAATTGTTCTCTTTTAGACCAGGTACTATAATTTAGGTATATTACCAAATTGTTGATTTTTTTGCGGTTCATACGTTCCGGATTTAACGGCGTGGTGTCGGGGTGTGTATATTAATTGTATAATTATCTCTCATGAGAATACCATAGCATCTGAGCGTTATACGAGTAGTGTATTTATAAGAAGAGGACCCAAGTATAAGGTATATTATATAGAATCAGTTGTACAAAAGGCGGCTTTTATATTATATATAGGTACACACACATACGTATAAGAGACGTTTTGGCCCGCGTGAATTAAGCCGATATTATATCTGATGGTGGTTGGCGATGACTCGACAAAATTCTATTTGCTGCATGTTGTTAAGTGTTCGAAAGATTTTCATTTTATATATTTTTTTTCTTTTCTACCTGTTGTTGACATGACCGGTTCGCTGGCTGAAACGATGATGAAGGCTCGTCTTAACACAAGCCGACACATATTACACCTATATATGTTTACCAACTATATGTATACGCCGTCGGTAAGTTTTATTTTGTGTTATTATTTTTATACAGTGTTCACACACGTTTACACACGATTTGAAATTAGGAGCATGTTAATTGGATTTGGGAGCTTCGGATTGGCGCCTTTACGAAAAAACAGCCAAATTCCCCAAAGTTAACAATTAACTGGTAGAACTATTATACATTTTAATCTTTGACATGTATACAATGAAAAATTATGTTTTTCTTAAAATAGGATAATGATTTTGTATTATTGTCTTAATTGTTAAAACAGAATTGATAAGTAAGTTAGAATTATGTAACAGTCCAAGTTCCAACTACAACAATACAAATAGTGAACTGGTTTTTAAACGTTAATTTTAATTTTTGACATGGTACTTAAAATATAAATTAGATTTATTATGACAATAATTTGCACATTCATCAAGTTATGTATTACTAATATCAATATTGTGTTTCTATATTTCTATGATCAGATTTTTGAATTATTTAAATACCATAATATTTATCCGACTTAATAATTGAGGGTTCATAGTTGAAAATTATTTTTTACTTAAAAATACGATTATTATCATTATTTTAATTTTTGAATGGATTGTAACTGTTTGGTTATTAAATTGTTTTATTAAGTAATATATATAAGAGTATATTAACTAAAATATTGTTTACCGGTTAATATTTAAATATTTCCGAATAGAATTGGGTTCGTTTCATTACACTTTTTAAGACAAAATACTCCACTTTATAATAAAATGGACATAATATATCCGGCAGGTTTTTTTCATTTCATTAATTATTATTATACACAATGCCTGTATACCGGGAATTTATACATAAATAATAACACCTGGAGACCATCTGCCGCAAGTTGAGTTTTTCCTCTAGGGAGTATTAGTGTTAGTTCGGGTCCCTAATATTAATAAAACTGTAACCCACGATTGGTTGAAAATTGTGAACAAAATGGGCAGATGGTCTCGTTATGTAGTAATTGAATAATGGCGAAACTCACCAAAGAGGGCTATACCACTGCCACCGGTACATTGCATATTATGTATCGTTATCGGTAATTCAAATAAATATTTTATATAATACATATTAAATTAACTATCCTGACCATCGTACAAGGTTTTAGTTGTAAAGTATACGGCCTCATCATAGAGCGTCATCCTAAATGCTTATAAAGCCAATGCATATAGCAGCAACGATTGACGCTAGTGTATATTAATCAGAGCAAACTGTAAATGCAATGACCGGAAAAAGTGTGCTTTCTTTTTTTTTACATTTCATCCAGTTTATCTGTACGTTATTTTTGTAATTAATGTTATTCGATTACCTCTTATTGTATTATAATCGTTTAGACTTAACATTCATTAATATTATACAACTAATTGCAGCCGATGCACTATTTATTTTCTGAATACGTTTTTTTTAGAATAAAGCCTACTACAAACTGTTCGAACCGTTATGTGCTTTAATTGCCACAGTCATTTTTTATTACTCCGGTTTCTTATAACATTGGGCACAAATCTATATAAATAACATTTAATATTAATTGTGGAAATAAAGTAGGTACAAAAAATGACCAAAAAGTAAATTATTTTATTGCAGTAAAAACATAAGTTTAGGCACTTTTGTTTAAATTAGCATTGAAATCCATTTTCTGTGCTCTATATGAGCTTTACATTTGAAAGGAAAGTGTCTAAGAAATTTGTTCAACCGTTGTAACACATTATACGAACGCACAACCATGTAATAACACAATATGCCAATTGTAAGTCTACATACAACACTTGCCTGAGTAAATTTTAAATAAAATATAAAAGAAGTTTTAGAAAAGATGTATATTTAAATATCATTGAAATGTTGTCAGTTCTTATTAAGGCAATCTTAACAAAGACAAACCATTAAGATATATTTATTCCGGATTTTTTTGTTGTAAAGTTAACGAATTGTCTTAAATAAAAAATAATTCGAATGTTTCTTATCTCTTAAAATTGCACCCGTCTTTAATAGATTATTTTTGTTAGCTATAATTGTTACAAAAACATATATCTTGTAGTTTTGATGTAGCTTATATAGAATGCAGAATGAACAATTTTTCTTTTTTCTTTATTTTAGACAACGTTCTTGAAAATAAGAATCAATAATTTTTTCAAAAAGTATAGGAGTTTAAGGCTTTATATGATAATATATCTTAAAATCTATTCAGTTATATACTAATAAATTAATATGAAATTAATGTCACGAAATATTAAACACATGATGTACCAGTTGTGTTTTATAATAGTATAAACAGTGATGGTTAGCTACAATTCATAAATATGAGATAGGTAATTGACATTTTATAATTTATATTTGTTAGCAGAATAACAATTATGAATTATTATAAAAACAATTTAATTTGATATTTTTGTTTTTTATAGTGAACATTATTTTTTGAATTTCGAATATCAAGTTAAGAAAATAAATTATGATCTTTTTATTTAAATTTATAGTTAAAGAACGAACTTAGTTTGTTAATTAACTAGGAAAGGAACAAAGCTCGTTTTTTGTGAGGTGGACATGAAAATGAACTTATTTGTTTTTTGAATGAATTTTCCAAGCACTGCGATTAGTATAATATTTTGTTTTTATTTTCTTATGATTAATATACACGATTTGTGTTTATATGTAATAGAACCGTAGTGTAGGTTAGTGCACGAAACTTTCTTAGTGCTGGTAGTCGGTACTCGCATTGTGTGAACATTATAAAATAAAGTGTGCTTAAAAGTCGGAAAAGCGTTTACACGGTCGTTTTAATAACTACTATAGAAGTTAATTACAACTTTCCACGAGCGCCGTGGAATCTCTATGCCGTTTGTAAGTCTTTCTCGTGTCTCTCCTGTTTCCTTCTCCAATTTTTTTTTTACGTTTGACGGCTCGCATTGTGAGAATACCGCAACAACTGCTCGATGGGATATATATGTATGTCGGAAGTGCTGTGGGTTTTCTCTCTCAGGAAAAGTGTCGTTACCCGCGCCGGTTCACCTACAGCCCGAAACCACATAGAGAACGACACGATAGATTATTGTGTATTGTATCAAAAAAAAAAAAAAAAACGGAAAGGACTATGTAGACGAGTAGGGGAAGGAGAGAGAAAGAAGGTATAGTGTAGTAGGTTATGTACGATTTTGTGTGTGTATAATGTAGTGATGGTAGTGTAACGTACGGATAAAGTCGTTGGTGGGGAATAATAAAAAAAATTTTGAAAAAAAAACGGAAGACCGCCAGTGGTGTGGTGGTAGTAGTGGGGTGGCGGAGGTGGTGGTGGTCAGGAATGCGGGGTCATGGGAACTGAAGTGACTCGGTGGTACGGCGGTGGCGGCCATGTTGGATTGATGGATAATATTATGTCGGAGAGCCTCAATCGTGTCTGGACCGGGGGAACTGTATTTTTTCGGCAGCAGCCCACCGACGATCGGCCGCCGCTCGTTTACCGGCTTTCTATAAATCGTTCTTATTTATGTTGTACGTCATTTTTTATATTTTGGTTCGTAAAATCAAAAATTAGATTACTAATAACATTTGCCAAAAAATTGAATTTCACGTGCATGCATCGGACGCGCACAGTTGTGTTTTACCCATTAGTGCGCGTTTCGATCCTCTCCTTTGGGACCCTTAGGGACCGCCGCCGTTATTGTCCCCGATGACTTGGCGCTTTACTCACAGTTAAACTTAATTTTATTTTTATTATTATTTTTGTATACCTGGCCGCCAGGTACTCGGCAGGCACATCGTAGTATTATTATTGGCGTACAATCGATTGTTATCTTTCTCGTTTGCGAGTTCTCTCGCCTGTAATTACATATATTTTTTTTTCGTTTCAAAATTCGCGTTTTTTAATTTTTTTTAACTCGAGTGCCGTTTTGTGAACTTTCCAGAAGATACCGCTCGTTCGAGAGGGATTTCCACCGACAATGACACCGAAACGTCGGATTTGGATGCCGAAGAGTTCAAGCACAACAAGTCACCCAGTAAAGCTGCTTCTTCTCCTAGACTAACTGAAGATCAACGGGTGAGTTTAAGTTACAATTACACTATTTTTAAATTAACCGCGTTTGTTTTTAAAGCCTCCAAAAAATGGAATATTTCGATTTTTCGTGGTAGGTTTTTTGATCTTTTACACCGAATTAAAGTGGCAGCCAACATTTTGTAGTTGACTTTCCTGTAAATTGTATTGTAAGCGAAAACTTTAGTTAAATCTCCTTTTATTAAGTTAACTTTACTTAATGTTGTTGTATATAAAGTGTTTGATGTAATTGATGTGACCACATATTTACCCGTGTAATCTTGACAATAACAAATTTCCAGTAAACGCTGTTTACCTTATTTTAATTAAAATTGTGGCTCGGTATGCTTATAAATTCTTTTAGTCATGCAGTGCTCCCGATTCCCAAACAGCTAAGTATAAAATTAACATTTCAAAAATATCGTGAAAAAATTGTTCGCCATAACCAGTTTAAAACATTCAATTCAAATAAGAATACATCTTTGTTGTTTTGTACGTGTTAAACATTTGGTAATTTTGATATTAGTTAATCGAAAATAATAATCGTTTATAAAATAAATTGGGACAAACTTAATTTATGTAGGTACTGTATTGTTACTATGTAATATTTATATTACTTTTCAATAATTCCTACTGCTATGTTATGACAATTTAATAAATACTAAATAGGGTATAGTAAACGTGGTATAGTTAAGTATGAACAATACAATTATTGGACAGCTTATTATTGTTTATCTAATACAAATGACTCAACTATAAATATATCCATGCCACAAAGCAGTTTTAGAAATTAACTAAAAATTCAATGAGGACGAAAAAAAGCCTTTTGCAATAGCATTTCCCTCCAAAAAGTATAAATAACATGATACATTTTTAATGGAGCATTAAAATTTAATTATTTTTGGAGACGTAACGCCGTTAAAACCCCATTCAGTGCCCACCTAAAATTCAAATTTATTTATAAATTAAAAATAAATAGAAGGCTCTAGATAAGGTTGTCATAAAAAAAAAAAAAATGTATACATGCTTTTAAATGTATTATGTTTATAGTGTAGAATTTGTTTTTATTTATTATGGGTGCTAAACATTTTCTACTCTTCTCTTATTTGAGCACTCTTAACTATATTTTTATTTGTCTTTGATATAGTGGTGTATCTGTGTTAATCGTTTAATATGATCATACTAAAAATATTTTATCTAGATGTTTTGTCTCGATATATTATTAGCCAGAAACATTGTAATCGTAAATATTTCAGTGTTCAATCGATTTCACTTGATATTCTTAAAGATGCTACATAAAAAAGTTTCAATTAGTTAAATAAAAAATAATAACATTGAATATACTAGTATGTATTTAAATTTTACATCCGGTATTCATAGAAAAAATCCACTAAATTCATGCAAATATAATTTGAGTAGTAATTATTAAAAAAAATTAAATTAACTATATACTATAGTAAAAAAATTATTTATTTAAATTTAGTTCATAAATTATTCGTGTAGTTTCATCATTTTAGATCTCCTAGTAGAAGTAGAAATTATAACCTATTAATCGTTATTAACGCCATAATAATATTTTTTCTATATTACAAAAATGAAATAGGTTTTTAAAAGCATTTCATTTATAATTAATTAATACGGTTGCTTTTTGTGTAATTTTTAATTTAATCGACAAGAATTTAAAATGATTAAACAATAATTCATCAATAAATAGTTTAATTTTTTCTAGTATTTAGCTAGTATAACACAAACTAGATCTAATCGGTATCGAAACTGAGGTGTTTTTAATCAGGTGTGTTCACGTTAATCTATTTGTTGAACCAATAAAAATAGTTTATTTTGATACCAAATCAGTTCACAAAAAATATTTAATTAAATTAATATGGAAAAAATATATTTACGGTGGTTATAACAACAAATTTTAATTTTGACCTGGTAACGTTCTGGTTATCAATAAATAAATGGCAATTCAATCAATAGTTGTTTGATTACGACGAATCGTATAATATTTATTTTTCAGTATATTAATTATTAGAGAAACTGTCAAATCTTATATTTATTTATTTTTTTAATAAAAAAAGAACCCATGGGGTTTTTTTTAGTAAAAATCGTTTATTCCACGAAAAAACAATTAAAAAAATTATTTTTAAGTAATATTTCTTAGAACAATTTTATTAAATAATATTTGATTGGCCACATATTTAATACACATACAATAGTTGCGTAAAGTATTTGATGAACTTTTAAATCACATCATTGATGTGTTGATTGACTGAATTCTACTAGCATTCAGAATTCTAGCGATATCTCCAAAGATTTGTATGTAGGAGAGACAAATTTCTAAAGATATTTTATAGTAGATGCTCAAAGGTCGTCCTGCTGTTTTCTTGATCCAAGACTTATATAGAGGAGCAAAATTACGTAAGAAATATTCTCAATCTTAATACACGATCCCAATTATACGCCTATAAATAATTAGAGGACTCTTAAATTAGTGCAAATACTTAAACAGTTATCTCATTTGTTTGACTCATTGAATAATCCTGTATAATTAAACATGTTAAATTTGGCATTTTTATTTAAATAATAAATTAAAAATAATGCGTTATTTGAAGTAAATTTTTAGTTTGCGCATCAAATAACATTTAATTTTTAATTACTTTTATTTACTGTTTCAAATAATACTTAATTTAAATATATTTATATTTTCTAATAAAATATTATTCGAAGGATTCAAATAATTTGTTATTTAATTTTTTTTTAATAACTATTCAAAAGAGAGCGAGTAGTATGGCATTATCAGGCCTTTACATATTTAGGGCCCATTCAGTTCATAAATGTTTAATATACTATAGGTTCATTCCTAATGAATTTTTGCCTTGGGGCCTAAACCTTTTTAAATCCAGGCTTGACGAATGTGATGAATGCTCGAATAAATCGGTTCAGTAGTTTATAAGTTACAATTGAATTTAAAAAGCCAGCACAGTGGCCTCGGGCATAGGCGAAGACTGAGCATGTTGGGGTGGGAAAGATCACAGGTATAAACGCTATAATGCGATTCTGTAGATGGTAAAAATACAAATATCGATAAAAGAAATGTAACTACTAATGTCAATAATGAGATAAAAATTATTATTTTAAGTATTAGGGTACGATTAGGGTTGATCGTCTGTCTATAATGTTACAGGTGTTTGCTACATCTTTCATCCATTTAATCGTTAACGTAAGGCACTTAGTTAGAAATTTTCTAGAAAATAATTGCAATTTTGTAATATTTCTTTGTGAACAATTGTTATGAATGTTTTTATTCAACACTATAAAATTACCAAATATTTACCTTATTTAGTATTTTCTAAAGCACTGTGAACTTTTGAAACTTAATAAATGGGAACGAATATATTTAATGCAATTTTTAACCAAAAATAACTTTCTGAAAATGTTGGCTGGCTAATAACTAGTTTTGAATAATTACTTTTGTTATTAAAGTTTTAAATTTAGGACGCTAAGAAGGGTGGATAAAAGTGTTATTTTTATCTGAGCGATTCACTTAAACGCACTCTACCTGTTTTTAATTTTAAACCCAGATAACTTTAAAAATAACTATTGAAGGGGAATGAGTGTGTTTTTTAAACTTTTGTAGACAAATACCAATAATGTACATTTCAGGTACGGTTACTGATCTATGCCTTATGAAGAAATCGGTTCAGTCGATATTAGAAAACATATTGTAAAACAATATTTTCTCAGCTCCGCTTGGAAGCTATAAATTATGCATTGATATTTTTGAAGTTGTTAACTGAAATAAAATATATTTATTTTATAAAATATAATATATTTATTTTATTTCCACTTGTATTTAAGAGTTTAATATCGAAAATATATTAAACAATTTTTTTATTGAATTTGTTCGTATACAAATATACTTAAAAGAAGGGGGGTGGGACTATATTTTACAATGACTATTAATACGACTTCTGTGTTTCTAGAATAAAGATTTTTGGGAAAATCTGTATAATAATTATCTCTAATAGGAAATTATTATTTTGTTCGTTGTACGAATCCCAGTGTTATTAAGTTAGAGTAATGCCTTTAATTGAAACGCATAGCACCAGAATAGTTTAACCTACAAAACATTAAATTTCGTTTTATTTCATTAAACATTTTAGAATAACATGATATTTCAAAACAGAAATGCTGACTCAAATCTAAAAGAAATTTATTTATTCACTAAATGACAGAACTTAATTTTTTAAAATTGACATTTCCACAATGGTATTAAAAAATATATAATTGGCCTTGAAGTAATGGATTTGTGGGTGAAGTTTTTCTAGTGCTATGCGCCTCAATATTAGCTTTTTCGACATTTGTGTTGCGACTACAGTGGCACTGAACTCCGTTGTCTAACTTTAGGACAACCGAATAGCGAGTGTGTTAAACAAGATGGATGATCCTCTTCGGTCCAGATATTTAGTCTACTCGACCATAATGAAAATCAAGACTAATAACAACTGTCAAATGCTATAATATAATTTGAATGAAATTAAAAAAAAAAAATTCTGTCTTCAGGTATGGTTATGGGTGTCTATTTCGCATTTTTTCGCCATAGGAATTTGTTTTACATTATATCAATTCGATTATACTTTGGCATATTGATTTGATGTGTCGGCGATGTTCGTTTACGGTACATTATAATATGTATATACAATAATAGCACGGTGCATTAGTGGAAAATCGAATTGAACGTAGTTTGGGTGGCGTGTTTTCTCTCTTGGGATTCATATATGTACATGCACACACAACACACACACACACGCCTATACAGTAGATTTTTATGCGCCGTGATACGCGGTAGAGAGTCGAAGAGAAAAAAAGTCCGTAACCAATGCCCGATTTCCTGTACACATCGATCATCCAATATATATTTATGGTACATAGTGTCCGTGAGGTGTTTAATATACTGTCAGGTGTACACATCATGTATTATTTTTTTTTTTATTTTGGGTTACATTGTTGTTATATTTCGTGTAGGTATATAATAATATTGTGTGTAAAATTTGTTCATCTGTGTTTTTGATGACAGTGTTATGTATATGTATATACTTACTTTTATTATTATATTATGTACTTTTGTTATTTCGATAGGTGAAAGAATCTTCGTGGTACGAACCGTCGTTTGAATTCGACTTGGACGATTTCGAGTCGTTCGCCGACGACATGATGCAGTGCTATTCGCAACCGCCGCCGTCCACCAGACACTTTCAGGTAAGTTCAATACATAAAAATATATATTTTTATTTAATCATATATTTCAGTGATGGGAATTCAAAAATTTGAATTTAAAAAAAACCTGTTTAAAATCGTATTGTTTAATTCAACAAATCTGAAATTCAGAAGCCATTTTTTTTTTTGGCATGTTTGTTTTTTAAATTTTCATCAAAAATATTTTACTCAAGTACGCAGATTTATATTGTAAAAATATTTTTTATTTATAAGATTTTTAAGTGGCTTAAATAACGTGTATAATCCGGATTTTCGTATTCCCATCACTAATATTTCATAACATTTTATGGAACCATGATACATCCTGTTTGGATATTAGCATAGTGTAATATTAACACACGAGGCATGGGGCCGCATGGGAGTTTCCAATTCGAGTTAAACTTTTGATTATATATTGAAAATAATTTTGATGAATAAAAATAATTAGACCGATTTATTACGGGTTGTGATTTAAAAAACAACAGGATTAGGCGTTGGTAGACTATCTGAACAAGCAGAGTAGTACTACATATTTGAAAAAATCGGCCCAGAAACTCTATTAGGGTTAGGCAGTGTTACGGGTATGACCGATTAAGTTTTTTAATTGACTAAATTAACCGATCAAATCAATCGTGATACATTTATTAAAATTTCCAATGATCTCGTTAATCACAATTAATATAAAAAAAATTAATTGATCATTACTTTCCGTACTTTTTTGATTAGTATTTATTTAAATGTTTATGCATTCCTTTTTAAACTATGTTATTTTAGAATAATTGAAAACAAAATTATTCGAAAAAATTATTTACTTTATATTTGTAATTGAAATAACGTACGAGTACAAGCATGAAGTTTTACAATTTTTCTAAGCTCAAATACTTATAGAGTGTATGTTTAGCGAAAAGTGAAATTCTAAAAATGTTTTACCAACTATTTAAAATGTGTATTATATTGTACTCGACGGGACACACTCATCATTTTTGTAATAACTAGTTTGTTAGTTTTAAATTGCAAAATTATTTTTTCTTGTTGCGAAAGCAGGTCGAGCCATTATTCTTATTATTATACTATAATTGTACTTTATTGCGGTAAGGCATTATAATGTATAAACGCTCCAACTGATATTTAAGTGTCGTAAAAATCGTATTATGTACTTCATTATTATAAGTACAGACTTAAATATTAAACGTTTTAGTGGAATATCTATAGATTTTATGCATGTACGGGTTTATTTAACAGTCTTATTGGGTCATCTTCGATCGGCCGTATTGTAGCGTTACAATGCAATAACATAATCCTATAAACCATCTTTCCCATAAATAATAATCAACAGTATCGCCTCGTGCGTTTTTTATATCTAATATAGTTTAGTTTAAGGTAGTAAAACTATAACTTTAATGTTTTGTCTTTCAATTATTTATACGGAATTTCAATAAAACCAAGTACCAAGATATTTACGGCATAAGCTTTATTAGTCAATATGCTACCGTTTTTCGGGCCTACCAAATGTTTGATGATGTGATTTTTAATAAAAATACAAAACGTGAGAGCGCCTTCAAGGAAAAAGAAGCAGTTAATAGTACTTCTTAAAAATTTGTTTTACAAATTAGATCTTCTAATTATATAATTTGAGTTCTCATTATAAATATAAATAGCTTTTTGCTCTGTCCTTCAATACTGTTCCAGATTAGCTCCTTTTATTTATAATTTCTAAGTCCATTTTAGTTTTTTTAATGATATAAGCCCAAAAGTACTCTACGCAACTGAAATACTAAACAAATAATAGTTCAACTATTCTTAGTTCTTATAATTATACATTTTACTATAGTTTTAACTAGAGCTTCTTATTTCACGTGTACACGAAAATACGTGTATTCGAACTTTTGAATAGTTCGTGTTTAAGTTCATATAGTTCGTGTATTCGTGTTCGTGTATATGTACATTCGTGTTTTCGTATATTCGTGTATTCGTGTATTTGTACATTCGTATATTCGTGTTTTCGTATATTAGTGTGTTAGTATATTCGTGTAATTGTATATTTGTAACTTAATCGCCATTTACTTATTATTGTTTTATAAATTCCGAGTACACTTATTTAATATAGAATTGATTATATACGTAGGTTGTCTTTGATTTAGCCTTATTAAATACATAAGGTAAGTGATTTACATAAATTTATAGATTGTGATACAAGGTTTAATTGGATATACTGTTACATTTTTTCGTTAATAATAAAAAAAAATAATAATAATTTTCAACTAAGAATCTCTTAGTATTAAAATCAACTTAAAATTAAAGAACTCCTAAAATCTCACTGGGCCAATGGAAACATATGTTATACGATTTATAATTAATGTGAATATTAAAAATATTGAGATTAAATGCTAATACCTGCTAATAAAGGTAGTTTAAATATCAATTAGTGATATAATTAAGATTTGAATCTACAATTATCGTCTTAATCCTCTAAATAAACCAAATTCATTACAAATTTGCATTCCCTGACAGAAATATTTGAATGTAATAATGGGTGACAAAAATTATTTACACAATAAAAAAACATTTTTCCTAAAATAAAGACAAATTTATAAATTGTTATAAAATGCAAAATTCAACGATTGCAAGAAAATATGAATATAAAAACAAATTTACAAAAACTATGAAAGCTTTATTATTATTAAACATTATTGGTTACATTTATAATACATTATATTTTATTTTACATTTTATAAAGCTATCTTTGGGGGGGGGGATTTTGGGGGTCGAATCTCTCCCTGAATATGTTTTCTGTAAAAACAGGTTTTTTTAATCATCCTAAAAGTATAACATATATTTTTGAAGACATCTCCAATAGTTTGGTCCCTAGGTACTTACAATTTTGTTTTATCGATAACTAGTCTTAAATAATATCTTGATAATAAAAATTATTATTGATAAAAAGTGTACATGAAAGGTGCCCCTTTTGGCAATATAATTATTAACTCTGTACTCTTTTAAAAAACACCCTTAACCCCTCTAAATGAGAAGTAAATTTTAACCTAGGCATTACATTTGAATTTTGCAACCCTGAAAATGTATAAGTTAATTTACAATGAAGTATTTCAAAGTAAAATTAGAAAGATATTAATTTTTACCGATTTTTTTTACTTATATTCTAGACTTGTGTGTGCTATGGCGTAACCATGTGAACAATTCACTATATCCGTACATTCGTTATTCGAATACCCGTTTTCACGAATACCCGTACATTCGTTATTCGAATACCCGTTTTCACGAATACCCGAACATTCGTTAGTCGAATACCCGTTTTCACGAAAATTCGTACGTGTTCGAATAAAACATTCGTGTATTCGTGTAACGAATACACGAATGTTCGCTTTTACGTACTTGACTGAGACCTCTAGTTTTAACATTGTAGTTAGGTTATATTCTCTTTAAAGAAAATATATGGTAATGGAAAAGGGATGGAACGGAATGGGAGGAAATATTAGCTTTGTTTTTTTTTAAGTTGGGCAAATTATTTTTGAGCTTTTACTTCTGAAATCAATTGATGGACGGGTTGTATGTATTTGTTCGATTATTCTTTCTTTTAACGTTTTTTTTATGGATTTTCTAAACTAGATTTGTAATTCGGTGCGCCCTCGCGGGGAGTTTTTTTTAATATTTTCCGATTTATCGTGTGTTTTAGAAAAACGGTGGGTCGGCATCCAAAGATAAATTAATTAATCGAAATCGTACTCTGTCCTACCGTTTTCTGCACTATTCTCTATGTAACACACATTCTATACAAACACTGAGATTCTACCGTATAAAAATGGCCGCTCGCTCTGAGTACACCGAGCGTGACGGCCGTGCGGTATGTATACGCCTCTCCGTCATGCCTTCTTTATTATTATAAATATATATATATTTTTTTCTCCAATAATTCTCTGACAAAAATCCACTCGCGTGTGCCTTGTATGTGTTTGCGACCTATTTCCGCCGTTTTTTCCCCGCTTAACATATTATATTAATTTTTTTTTTTTACTTCTTTTCATTATGTTTTTGTCGCCGACGAGAAAAAACGATTCGCGTGGCTCGCCAACATAACATATTATATCTGATATAGCTATATGACCTACACCATCGACGGCAGGATGCCAGGTCTTTTTTTTTTACAATAATAGTTGTCATAATAATACAATATTATTATATTAAATACTCGATCCCCGTGAATTTCTATCGCACGCGGGTTCGATCGATTAATCGATTGATAATAATAATAATTATATTTTTTTATTTCATCAACAATCTAGGCGGCCATTAATATGTACATTGTACACACACACTCGCACACACTACTCTAACGCCCATCGTACCCATAACGACATAATGTTAACTTGGCGGGCTAGCGCGCACAAGACCGTCGTCGTATGGTGTGTGTGCAGGAAGTATATTAAAAGTATATATATCTATATAATATGTATTGGACCTGTCTATTGTTCCTCAGCCTGTACTCGGTCTAATAGAGAAAGTACCGCTATGTACCATTGATATTGTGTGTTGTGCGAGGCGTATATGATATTGTAGAAAGTGACGTTTTTTATTTTTATCTTTTTGTTTACGATCCTTGTGCTTATTGGCGGCAGGCTGTGCGAACACACCGGCTGTTACACAGCCCAAAGCGTTTTCTTTCTCGCCAATAATAATAATAATGATAGTATATAATAACAATTGGCGTGTACCGTATACACATACAATTCTCCCACTTAATTTGTCCGCAATCCGTCGATTTTCCCCGACCGTCGCTGGTGCTGCCCCCTTTATAAGCCGTTATAAAACGAAACAATATATATATATATATAATAATATTATTATTATTATTATTACTATTACTATTATAGTTTCACGATGACTTCGATAGAGATATCGATACACACTATAATATAATATGCAAGGCTGTGTATCGAACGATCAACATATTGCTGCTTTATTATCGCAGTGTGTTGTCTTTTGTTTTT